AATAAAAAAGTGGATCATTGAACAAATCAGCCCAGAGTTCTCACTTGAGGCACAAATGACCAGGTTCAAATTATCCTGCTTTGGACACATGATGCAAAGACCCAGATCTATGGAGGAGGCTCTGATGCTGGGAAAGGTGGGAGGAAAGAGAAGAAGAGGATGATCAGCAGCAAGATGGATGGACTCAGTTACAGCAGTGATGGGGGCATTGTTGGGAGACTTGAAAGGCCAGGTTAGGGATAGACTGTCATGGAGAAAATCTATCTGTGAGGTCAGTAAGAGTCAACACCTGCTTGATGGCACGTAATCAATCATCTATGTAGGGAGGGAGCCATTGCCTTAGCATGCTGTGGGAACCAGGCCTCCCTCTCAAGGTACCATGGGGTTGACTTCTTTAGGCCAGAGCATGTTATAGAAACACAGGAACTATGTTTGGTTAACCCACATTTAAGATTCAGCGATCTGGGCAACGTGTCTTACAGTTCATTTGCATAACAGTGTCCATTCATTCCAAACGTGCCGTGCAATCATTCGCTTCCATTTTTTATGAGTAACAAGGTGCTTTTTTCAGAAATGGCCTTGGCAAAATTTCTAGTTGATAAAAAAGAGGGAAGGGGGGCATGACAAGGTATAATATACCATAAAATGCATGGCACTTTTTTTCTTAACAGCTAAACATTTTATGTTTGAGGTTACAACTTTCAGCTGTACCACTGAATGCACTTTCCTGGAAGTTTATAAGCTGTCAAATGCAGGTCCCAGATTAGCTAAATTACTCTTGTCCCAAACAGAGAAGTGAAAAAACTCTTCCCCCTCCTTCCCCATTCTTTCTCTTGAAATGCTTTACTCTCAGTTGCAGACAGAACAAACCATCTTCTCCCCGCTTCCCCTCCCATCTCATCCCAGTTTAAATCCTATATCAGTCTAGCTACTTCATGCATCTGATGACGTGAGCTGTAGCTCACAAAAGCTTCTGCCTTTGCATATAATTTGTCCAAAGTCGGAAAATGGGCTACCAGATTCCTCTTCAGCGAAGTCAGTCATGCACATAAAATTCCTGACCAAATTTCCTGTGCTTACAGAAGCTAAAACCTTGAGCACACTTATTACTGTTAAATAAGACAGGACTTGCATACTAATAAATTTAACTTCATACACACACCTCCACAAAGTTAAAATGTTACTATTTACGTGGTGAGCATTGGAGGAGCTAATCAAATTTCCTTAGTTGAAGGAGGAACCACCACTTTGTTTTCGCCATCCTTCCATCCTCAAACACACCAATATTAATTAGAGAAAAAAAATATTATGGGTTCTATAAGGAAGAGTGAGGACTGACAGCCTGCACTCCAAACCCCATCAACCCAGACAGCTTAGATGATGGGGTTGTAACCCAACACCAGCAGGGTTCCCTGTTTTATAGCTGCCAGTAAATAAATCCATGGATGGAATGATCTGAAGGGGACAGATTTGCTGAAGGTTAGATTTCCATGTTGTAATTTGGAGGGCTGCTTAAAAAAAAAAAATCTCTCACACAGATGTGTAAATCTTATGAGGTAGAAAGCTATCAATCATGGGTGGGTCAGTGAGATAGGAAGTTGTCAAGAGCTAGGCTGGGATATAGATGGATAGCTCTGGATGTGAGTTCCAGGTGCCTTAACCTTAGGAACTATCTGCTTGGCCCCCATCCCATCCCATCCCATCCCATCCCATCCCATCCCATCCCATCCCATCCCTCCTGGGCACTATTTTCCTTGAGTTGAAACTACTAAGGCTGCAGTCAAGCACGAAGCTTGTTTTCCAAGCTTGGTGCCTATTAGTGCTTTTCTGCTATGAGTTAAATAAAATTGGTTTTCTTAAAAAAAAACTCAGTAGGACTCTGGACAAGGAAGAATGCTCAACAGCCTATGGACCTAGAAGTTCTCCATCCATGTTTCTTGATTTCAGTTATGGATGGACATGATTGTAAATAATTTCTCTAACATATGGATGTGGTTCATACTGGTCTTTGCTGACCTGGTGCCTTCCCAATGGATTAGAAATCCTGGGTCATCTTGTCCAACCTAAGGCACCTGATTGGGTTAATCTGTGCCACACAAGGTTTGACAGGCATTAAATACGCATTGGGCCAGATCTGGAGCGCCTTTCATGTATAGTCAATTGCAATTAACCTGAAGCTGTTCATTGCCATTGGAAGCAGATCCAGGTAAAATCCAATTGCTCTCCAACAGAGGTAAGTGGAATCTGGGCGCCATCTTGTGTCCTATCTGTATGGGACACAAGAAAGGAAAATAAGATGCCTGGAGGCAAGTTGTGTGGGGTTCGGTTGGTCTATAGCTTATGTGGAAGTAATACAACATAAAAATTGAAAAACAGTGTTTTTCAAACTTGGACACTTTAGGATGGGTGGACTTCAACTTCCAGAATTCCCCAGCCAGCATGGTTATTGTACGAGAGCCGTGTTAATATGTGGCAGCCAAAAATCAGTGAGCTGGAGTTCACAAAAGTTTATGCCTTTTAATAAAACAAAATTTATGAGTCTGAAAAAGTGTTACCAGATGCCTTCAAATTTTTCAGTTTATTGTGTACAAACAACACGCTAAGACTTGGTTAACAGACACCATCTGCGTTCACAACATCGTAAACCAAACCTAAACAAATTGCACATTTTAATTTAGGGAGATGGAGGAGCCCAGCCATTGTGTTGAATAATATAAAGTGTGTCATTTGCTGAAGGTGAGTGATGTTCTTATCGTTTTCTAGGTGGTAGTGTGTTAAGCTATCAAACATAATATCTAATTCTTGCGCATTCCTCAAATTTTACTGATATGTTTAAGGCCTGAACAGTGTAGGATCCTGATACCTTAAAAAGCACCTTTTTTAGTGCACACCTGTTGGCCCCACCATGTAGACCAGATCAGGAAATCAACTCCACAGGAAGGCTAAAACTAATTTTACTACGATTGGCTATAACAGTGTCTCTCAACCTTGGCAAATTTTAAAAGTCGTGGGTTTCAACATCAACAAAAACCCCCCACCCCACCCCCC